ACGTGTGAGGAGAAGCCAGAGGTAGAACAGTTGCAAGAATGACAACCAACCAGTTATGGGGGGAGGAGGGGGAGGAGTAAAATAGCAAGAACCCAAAACAGACACTAGGTTTTGGGCAGATCATCATGGCCAGTAATGTTTCCTGGGGTGGGAATGGAGTGAAGAAAACCATGGGAGGAGACAGCCTCCCAAGGTAACAAGGATTTGAGTGAGGAAGTGGACAAATGTCCTACCCAGGACCTTGTGTACAATGCTGACACAGAGTCCTTGTCTGGTTGGGGGTTGGAGACTCCTGCATGTGCCAGGTATAAGAAGAAATGGTATCATGAAGAAAAAAAAAAAAAAAAAGAGATGTGCAGAATGGGTAAGTCCTGGAGAAAGACAGGGGTGGCCAGGAAGGGTAAGAGGGTAAATCCCACTAAATTGCCCTCAACAAGCTTTCTCTCACACTACTGATCACAGTGAATTGTTACTACATTTTCAAGACTGCATGGAAAGTAAGCAGTATATTTGCCCTGGACATTACTGTATTCCCTAGTAGTTAGAACAGGTATATAAGAGGCCTCAGGAAACAGGTGCAGGAAGGATCCAAGGGCAAAATGAAGAAGGAAAAGATAAGGAGAATATATTAAGAGCATCCGATGGGAAAGACTTGGAAAGTTGAACAGCAAAGGAGAAAGAGATCAAGAAAGGAAGGGTCAAGATCTCAGAGGGCAAATGATATCAAGGATCTGGGAGACAAATGGAAGTGTACCAGACAGGATTATACAACGGGTTTCACGGGGACTTTGGGTATCATCCTAAAAGCCCGAAATCTCAGCCCAGGAAGAGTATGTCATGCATCCTGTCTCCAGCAAAGGCTGGGAAAACAACCAGTACTGATGACTATGTCACTGACATCGTCATCTGGGAATTCAAATTCTCAAAAGCAATCCTGGGCAACAAAGGAAAGGCAGGAGGCATCACAACCCAACTTGAAATTATACTACAAAGCTATTGTGATAAAATCAGCATGGTACTGGCAAAACAAAACAAAATGAAACAAAACAAAACAAAAAAACAGACCTAAGGATCAATGGGACAGATTAGAAGATATAGACATAAATACAAACACACTCAGCCACTGTATCTTTTTTTTTTTTTTTTGACCACTGTATCTTTGATAAAGGGGCCAAACATGTTCACTGGAAGAAAAACAGCTTCTTTAATAAATGCTGCTGGAAAAACTGGCTTTTCATGTGCTGAAGGCTAAAAATACATACATGCCTACCACCATGCACAAAACTACTACAGTCAAAATAGATCAAAGATTTAAATATTCACACTGAAATACTAAATGTTCTGGAAAATAGGTAAAAATCTTAAGGATATGAGTAGACAGTTCATGAACAAAAATCAAATTGCACAGGAAATACTTGGGAATCTCATCTTTTTGAAACATTTCTGCACATCAAAAGAAATCAACAACAGAGTAAAAAGAAAACCTATAAATTAGGAAAAAATTATAGCAGGCTGTCTTTCAGACAAAGACTCCTATCTAGAACATATAAAGAATTAAAAAAACTCAGGCCTCCAAAATTCAAAGACCCAATCAAAAATGGGCAACTGAGATGAATGAATGTATACGTCACAAATGGAAGAGATACAAATGGCAAATATATGAAGAAATGTTCAACATCCTTGATCAAGAGATGCAAATTAAAACAACACTGAGACAACATCTTACACCAGAAAGAATGGCTATCTTCAAGAAGTCAACCAATAACAAATGCTGGAGAGGCTGTGGGGAAAAAGGACCCCTTCTCCACTGCTGCTGGGAGTGCAAACTTGTAAAACCATTATGGAAATCATTATGAAGATTCCTCAGAAACCTGGGATTGAAGGTCCCATTCAAGCCAGCTTTTCCCCTTCTAGGTATTTTTTGAAAAGAACTGAAATCATACCACAGCGATATGTGCATCCACTCATCTTTATAGCAGCTCAATTTGTCATAGCTAAATCTTGGAAACAACCTAACCCAAATGCCCATCAACTGAAGAATAGATTAAAAAAAAAGATATGGTATTTTTACACTATGGAATAATGCTCAGCTACAAAAAAGATAAATTTGAGGTTTTTGTAGATAAATGAATGCAACTAGAGACTATACTGGTAAGTGAAATAAATGATATCTATATGTGCAAACATCATATTGTCTCACTAGTGTGAGACCTTGAAAGAGTAAATAAAATTTGAAAGGAACAATAGATATTGTGAAATGGAAAGAATGGGAAGGAAAAACTGGGATGAGGAAAAGGGCAACAAAAAGAAGGGGAAAAAGATATATTTAATGTACATATGCAAGATAATTTGAGTAATTGTACTGCTGATTTCTGCTGGTCTTTGGAAAGAAGCAAATATTTAAAATATTTAACTTTTTATTCCTCTTTTTCTTTTAATTTCTTTTAACTTTTTTGTTGTTTTTAAATCCAATTTTGAAGGCTGGCCAAATAGCTCAGTGGATTAAAGCATCTGCAAGCAGGCGCAAAGGCTGGGGGTTCGATCCCTGGGCCTGCCATATCAGCCCTGCCCCTGGGGCACAGTGAGAGGGCATTGAGACTGGGCATGGTGGCACAAGCCTGTAATCCCAGCTCTTGTGAGGCTGTAAACAGGAGAAACACTACGAATCTAATCTAGTAGTGAGACCCTAAACACCCTGTAGACTCTTGTTTAAAAATATTTAAAAAAAAAGAAAACCAATTTTACACAGCACATGTATATCTGATAATCTGAACAATTGATTTGAAGATAACATTATGCAAACAATAATCATTGTTAAATTTCTATTACTTTAAGTGAAATTTTATATCGTTTCAAATGCTATTTTTTTAATCACTATTTCGTATTCTTTAAAAAATACATAAAAGTGCAAATTTTGATGCTACCTCAGATTTACTAAATCAAGAACTCTGTTTTAATAAGCCTTTCAAAGGATCCAGATGTGTATGAAAGTTAAAGAATTATTGGCTTAAAGTAATGGATGGAGTATTTTCCATTTATTTATTTATTTATTTATTTATTTATTTATTTATTTATTTTATTGTGGTCGGCTGGGTTGGCATAGCATGTGCTGCCAGGGAGTGAACTGCAGTCCCTGCACCTGCTTAGGCAAGTGCTCTGGACTGCTGAGCTATCTCACTGGCCCATATTTTCCATTTTGAAGCCACAACTCCCTAATTATTTAAGTCTCTGACATCTGCTCTGCTATTCTATAGTAAATACTGTACTAGTCTGTAGTAAATATTTGCTAGTGGCAAAATGAAAACAAGAGGAGCAAACAACTATTTGCAGTCTCACAAAATAGTGAGTAAGCAGTAGCCTTGCTGCTTGGGTTTGATTCTTAGCTATGAAATCCTGGAGACATTTCTTTTCCTATGAACCCTCAGCATTCTCATTTATAAGAAAGGATAAAACAAGCACCTAACCTTTAAGATTGTTATAAGGATCAGATGAGATAGTGCCTAACACATGGTAAGTACTCAATTTTTCTGGCTATTATCATTAAAGTAGAACTTACAAGAAACCCATCACTTCATGGAGTTAGCTTACAACCTGCTAACTAGTAGTGAGACCCTGAACATCCTGTAGACTTCTAAGGCATGATTTTATAACACACATGCACAACATGACCATGTTTTTTTTTGCCCTAAAATTAACATGCACCAAAACTCTGCAAAGAGCTAGGACTGATGCTGTGACTTTCTATGACTTGTGTTATTCTGACAGAGATTAGCCTTGATAGTTTGACATCAAGATACTGATACCTTGATCAACGCCTAAGTGTCAAAACCTCCAGTCTTGTAGCAAGTAAATGGAGTGACATAGCAACTGGTCCTTGTGGGGCTGAGGCTGGGACAGCACAGGAGGTAAGCAAACAGCAGAAACCCTTCCTGAACATGAATGTCCTCAGGGTCTCTGTTCACACCAGTCCCCTCCAAAGCCCTTCTTGGGCATCCTCACCTGTCCAGAATCTAGTGTCCTTTCCCCTACTCTGAAACATTCTCAATTTTGCTCAAGTAGAGAGAAGTTTCTCAGAGGTTACCTACTAATGTGAGTACCCCACAACCCCACTGCCAAGTTTTTAATCTTGAAGGATTTACTGAGGTTTACTCTATATATTTTGTGACTCCAACCAAAGGCCAGGGATCTGGCTTAGTATATAGAAGTGGTCAGCATTTACAGATATTACAGTAGTTACACATCTACTGCCATTTTAAACTTTGGCTACTCAACAATTAAAACTTTCTGAGATTGATATACTGCTAAGAGAATGGGAATCACATTTATCCTTCAGTAGGAAGTAGGAAGCATAAAAAGGACCTGAGTAATTAATGGGTCTTCTCTCTCTACTCCTATCCCATATTGGAAATTGACCCAAGAAACCCTGAGCTATATCCTTAGCCCTTATTATTATTATTTTTTTGGCCATAATTTTATTGATAAACAAATAGCAATGAGACAGTTTCAAATCAAATCAGTAGGACAGTTTCAATAATCAACACACTGCATACATTCTTCTTAGTGGTAAGGTATAAATATGTGGATTTTATTTTATTTTTTTATTTTTTGGCGGAACCAGGGATTAAACTCAGGCTCTTAGTGCTTGCCAGGGAAGAGCTTATTACACTGAGCCATCTCCCCGGCCCCCTTAGGCCTTATTATACTTTTAAATCTTTTGGGTTTTTTTGTATTTTAGGTAAGAATCTACAGGGTGCTCAGGGTCCCACTACTAGATCAGACTCGTAGTGATCTGCCTGTTTACAGCCTCTCAAGAGCTGGGGTTATGGGTGCACGCCACCATACCCAGTCTCAACTGCCATCTCAGTGTGCCCCAGTGGTGGGACTGGCACTGTAGGCCTGGGGATTGAACTCCTGGCCCTTGGGCAAGCTTGCAGGTGCTTTAATCCACTGAGCTATTTGGCTGGTTCTATACTTTTAAATTTTGAGACAGGGTCTCAATAACGTCCCTAGGTTGACTTTAAACTGACCTCTTGTCTCAGCCTCCTGAAGGCCGGAGGGAAGTATCTTTTAGTTCCATTAGGTGGGATTCCGTTTTGAAAGAACACACAAAATAACAAGAGGGTTTACTGGACAAAAATTCATCTCCAGAATTTAGCAGTACTTTGCACATGTATTGAGCACATATAATCATGAAGAATCAGACCAGTACAGCAGCCTGTTAGTCAAGGTCTTTTTGGTTGTATGTAATAAAATTAATTTCAGGTTGATTTTTAAAAATCAAGATTCATTCTATGCATACCTGAGGAATAAGCACAGGCCAAGGCAAAGATGCAGAACTGGACACAGAGACCTGAGGGTTGAGTGTAGGCTAAGGCAACGATGCAGGACCAGATGCCAAGACCAAGGGAGTCCTGAGGGTTACCAAGGCAGCTGCTCTCTAGTGCTTGTCCACAGTCATCATCTTAAGACTGTGACTGGAAGCTTTGCATTCACATGCAAAATTGGTCAGATAAAGAACTGCCTCCCTTTTTAGATCAGTTCTACTTTGGTCTCATCAACTGGAAGGTAGGGTAGATGGCCAAGAGAAAAAAGGCTGCTGGGCAGAAATGACCCTCACTACAAACCACTGTGTGAACTGAATAAATTTTGAGTCACGCAGGTTCCCAAACTGTGTTAGAGAAATCAGCTGTCTTATCAGGATCTTAGCTCTTGTTACTTAAATAAAATAACAATGTTTTTAATTTCCTCAATTCAGAATGATAGTCCACTCTAAATTTCAATTGAACTAGTCAAAGCTCTAATACTTAAATTGATTTAATGACTTAAATTTCATAAAGCCCTGCTGAATATTGAAACCCAAATGGAAAAAGTTACAAAAACTTGTTCCCTGTTTTACTGTTCAATACTGGATTTGGTTGACATTTGCTTTATACTCATTAAAACTTAAAGGACTGAAGACACACCAAACTACAAAAGTATCAGTTTCTCACTAATATTTTACTTTTTAAACAATTTATGTTGATGTGAATGGCATGGTAAGGATGAAGAATGTTCAAATAGTCCCTTGGCCTTATAAAAACTCACTAGAGGATCACATTTTGTGGGTACACTGCATGGCACCTGGAACACAAGTGAATGCTCGATGTTAGATGGACCCAATTCCAATTTTCAAATGAGTACAAGGATCTAATTTAGATCATATATTAAATCCAACTAATGATTTCAGGCCACACTGCCCTTATCACTCATAGCAGGTCACAGCAGACTGATTCTCAACCTGCTGTTTTTCTTTTTATAAGATTACAATTACTGATATCCATTAACTCAGAAGCACAAAATGTACAGTAAGAAATGACTAGAAATTATCTCAATGGAAACTAGTTTTTAGCCTAGAGTCTTACAGAAATTGTTATTTCAAAACATGCAGAGGCAGCAAAAATCACTAAAACCACATTTTATTCTATGACCTTTATATTGCTTTTCTCTTGTTCAAAGTTTGAAGCAATGTGAAATGGATGGAAATATGTTGTTAAAAGAACAAAACAAGTTAATCACATATACTATATATGTATGTACACATATATATGCACATATATATTATTTTTTTAACCTCTGGTTTATGCCTATACTGCTAACACAAGGTTAAATCCAACAGTGGCTCATGTTCTGGGTATGGATATATTAGGAAGGGTCAATATATAAAGAACCATCAATGCCCTGAAAGCAGAAAGTTGACACAATTTTAAATATAATTTTTATATATATATGTATATTTAAAATCAAACACAATTAAATAGAATATGGTTTAAGTACATGAATACTTCAGCTTTTGAAGGATAACAGAGATGGTACACAGTACCAAAAATTTATACACAGCCTTTTTGCTTCTTCTCTTCAAACAGCGTGCCTCTACACAATTGGATTGCAATGGAATAAATTCTCTATTCATTCAAGATTTTCTCAAGGACAGAGGTGATTAATAATTATATATATATATATATATAGATAGATAGATATATTAACTCTTTTTGTTTTTCAAAGTCTGAGCAAAAGCAGTAACACCTAATAGAACTTTCTTTCTTCATAGTCACATCCATCAAGGAAAGTTGGGCACAGCAAGGCCAGTGGAGTGTGCTTACCAACTGGGTGGCCCTGTGGTTGGCTGTGCAGACCCAACACAACATTGACTGAGCAGAAGTGCAGCAAGCAAATCTCTTACTGCCCTGAAGACAGAAAGAAAAAACAGACAGCCACCAACTGCAAACGTTCAAAAGAATGGAGAAAGCAGTCAAAGTTTAAGTCCTTCTTCCCCCACATTATTGAGTGAGGAGAAAAAAAAAAAAAAAAAAAATCTCAGAATAACCATTTTGCTCAAGGTACTACAAGTGAAGAAATGGAGTGGTCTTTACTTTTTCATTCTTCCCACATGTATTCTGAAGGGGAAGTTTAGTAACCGAAGCACAGAATTCCAGAAGAATAAATCTTAGTGTTCAACATAAACTAGATTCCTCTTTTGTTAGCAGGAAAGAGAATGGTTTTAAGGATAGTGCATCTCAGGAACAAGTAAAATGTGAAAATTGTATTCTGCCACTAGAAGGTCCACATCACTCAGGATTGACCAGTAACTTGTTGGCTTCCTTCTAAATTAATGCTTCTGTGAAGGAAGACTACATAAGGGATCCTCAATCTATTCTATATGCTTCTAGCCCCACATTCACTTGGAGCTGCCTGGCTCGCAGTGGGGCTGACTCATGTTAATTTTAGGAGGATAAAGCAAAGCACCTCTGCCACATGCTCTATGATGCTGCTAGGGATGGACTCCCACTACAAGAATGTATATCAAATATCAACTCTACATTTATCTGGCTGACACAGGATGTGGTCCCTGTCTATCCAGTGGACTAACTCTCTCATACGTGAGTTATTGCCATTGGAAAATAATGCGCTAGCCATGTAAACAATACCATTTTGTATCTTTGTGACTCACTGTGTGAACATCATGTGCATCATTTATGTCTACATGTTACTCTGTATTATGGTCTAGGATTGTCTCCCATTCTTTCTTGGAAACAACAGTGATGCATCAGTGAAAAGAAAAACAGTGCTCTGTTTCTGCTGGCTGTGTTGAAGAATCCAACCAAAGAACAAAGTTCTCTTATTTTTCAAAAGAAGACTTCCTTTATCTCAGGCCTTGAGTCATAGCTGGAAAAAAAAAAAAAGATAAACATAAAGGAAGGCACATTTCTATAACAAGTGACATCACCACAGATTAAGAAACCAACTGACATTTACTTAGTGCTTACTATATACCAGAGCTTTTGATCAATTTTTTTTTTTTTTTTAAATGTGATTTGAACTCAGGACATCATGCTTGCTTGGCAGGCACCATGCTGCTGAGCTATATCCCCGGCCCTATATATCAGAACTTTTGACAGCCAGAAACTGACTACAATCTTGTGGGGTAAAATATAATTATCCTCATTTATATATGAATGAACTGAGGCTTAAAAAGGTTAAGTACTTGCTTTTTATCTTTATTTTGGCAATACATATTAGAATGAAAAATATTCCCACTTTCTGAAAGAGTAATTCTTCTGAAAATTAACCCTATAGCACATTCATAAGCGAGGATAAAGATACATATGCATCTACAAAAACACTGTTTGTAACGGGAAAAAACTCAACATCCTAAATTATTCTAAATTATTTATAGAGATTAATGAACGAAAAAACCATAATGTGCCTTTACAGTCTTTACAAAGGAAAAAAGAACTTTAATTGGTTAGGCTCCTTAGACTGAGCCCAGGAGGCTAAGTCCCTCCTTTACTCCAACCAGGGTGGGGGTAGTGATGGTGAGACACAAACACTGCAGAAGACAGACTACAATTTGTGAGCTGAGACATGTTCATGAAACAAGCCCGTAAGAATTTGAGCTAATTTACTGTATGTCTAAGTATACTCTATGGGCAAGTGTAATTGAAGGTTTAAAGCACAGAGGTAGCAACATGGGCTAGACAGACAAGTGATCCTTCATGGGCCTATGACTGCTCATTCATAAAGTCATGGAATAAAAATTAGAAGGACAATCATTCTAAGTTTCCTTATCCAATTTCTCTGATCTACTGATGAGAAAACTAGGTATCTGAGAAAGAAAGCCAATTGCAAAAGGTCACAGATATCTAAAAATGGACTCAAGGGCTGAGGGGTCCAGTTCAGCCCCAGTGGCAAAACACTTACCGACCACTGACAAGGCCCTGTTTCAATCCCTACCACTAAAGATAAATAAACAAACAAATATTAAAAATAGAGTTTAGATAGTTTTACTAGTGCTTTTCAGTATCAATATGCCACTGATCCTTGAGAGACAGACAAGACAGATGCCTTAAGAACACCAAGACAATGCCTAGCATGCTTAAAAACCAAAATATAACAACATATCTGGTATATCCTAAAAATGAAAGCACACAGCAATAAAATCTGAACATACAACTCAAAATGAAAAGTCTGAATTTTAAACATCTGCTTTTCTTTCTGTCCTTACCTTCTTCCTTTAAAAAAAACCTACTATTATTACTATTATTATTATTTTAATGTATTTAGTACAGGGTCTACAGGGTTTTACTACACAGATCAGACTCATAGTAATCCTCCTGTTTTTAGTCTCTCAAGTACTGGGATTATAGGCGTGCAACACCAAGCCCAGTCTCAATCATAGGCTCAGCATGTCCTGGGGGCAGGGCAAGTAGGGTACAGAGGGGGGTGTGCGTGGGAGTGTCGAATCCCAGTCCCTGTGTCTGCCTGAGCTATTTGACTGCCCCCCCCTTTTTTATTCAATTTTTTTTCCCCCAGTACTGGGGATTGAACTCAGAACCCTGTGCTTGCCAGGCAAGTACTTATTCTAACTGAGCTATCTCCCCAGCCCTCCTTTTTTTTTTTTTTTTTTTTTTTTTTTTAAAGAGTAAGAAGAATTTATTGAAGAAAAGTTTCTGTCTGAGAGGGACAGAAGGGGGCATAGAGAGTGGGTTTCCTATGAGCAAAGCCACAAATTAAGGCAGACTTAAGGTGGGACAGAACTAAATCAGTAAGATTATAAGCATAGTTACTTAGGTAATATTGATCCAATGGCAAATCATGGGATGGGTGTGAGGTGGGACAAAACTATAGTCAACCAATAAGTACACAACAAGTATAGTTGCTTGGGTAATATTGACTAAATGGGGATCAAATGGGGAAACAAGTCAAGTAGCAAGTGCACATGGGCCAGACAAACACTTCCCTGGAATGGGTGGGTTAAGGAGGTTTGGTCCTCCATTCCAAAATGATTGATACCTAGGGGAACTTATGGGTGAGTAGAAGCTTGGCCTTCAGTGAATATACCTCCAGCTACAGTTGTCTTCTGTACTCATCTCTTGAGGGCCCAGACCGATCTAACTGCCTACAATATTTCTACCTAACTTGGCTATCTGTAATAGTCCCCTTCTGAAGATGTAACCCTAACTGCACAGAGGTGACAAGATAAACATTTGATTTTCAAAAATGGTTTCTGAAGATTTTCTTATTGTCAAACATTTGAATATCAACATGGTAATGAGGAATCAAAAAATAACTACTCTTATACTTCCTCACATATATTTAGCTTACTCTTTACTATTTTAGGTTTGATGGAGCCAGAAGATAAATATAGGCACAAATTATCACCCTTATACCAAAAAGAGAAGAGTCTGCAAAAATGAACAAGGCTTTGGAATAAAACAGCTCAGTGAAAAGTTGAAAATTAAACCAAGCTCTGATAATGACAGTTCTCAAAGAAAAAAACAGGCAGTTGGCAGGGAGAGTAATGCCAGACTTAGAGCACATTCAGGCTCTCCAAACTGCTTCAGGTTACACAGACATAACAGTATATACCTTCTTGGAGCAAAGATGTGTGTGGGTGCGCGGTACAGTGGTAGAATGCTCACCTAGTATGCTTGAGACCCTGGGTTTGACTCCCCAGCACCACAACAAAAACAAAAAATTTCTTACATATATTTTTATGAGAACTAATTTAACTTAATATAAATGGTTTACTGCCTTAAAGGATATGAGCACAAATTCTATCACATTCATATCAAGTCTTCATGAACTGACTCAGGAAGGAAAGAGGTGTAGAAACATTTGGATTAAAGACTGGGGGAGTGACTGTTAATAATAGCTTTCAGGAAGTCAGAATTTCCTAACAATAGTCATCTGACTTCTAGGACAAAATAGATTGATCTTATACTCACTCAACTCACTCCTTAAATGAGCACTTTTTTCTTTTTGGAAATAAACTTGTACGTGTGAAAAAGAAGTGGGAACAACCAAATTCCAGGGTCAGCCAAACAGCTCAGCAGATTAAAGCGCCTGCTTAGGCAGACACAGGGGCACGGAGTTCGATCCCTGGGCCTGTCATGCCGCCTAAGACTGGCCTGTAATCCCAGCACTTGGGAGGATGTAAACAGAAGGATCACTATGAGCCCAATGTATGCAGTGAGACCCCGTACACCCTGTCCTTAAATAAATAAACAAATAATAAAATTTTTAAGAAATCTAGAAATAAATGGGTGAATGGTAGATAATTTAACAGACTTAAAAAAAAGTTCTATCCTAAAACTAGAGAGAACAACATGGTTTATAATCCAGAATCTCTCAAATCCCAAGGAATTGATGGCACCAGGACATCTGGCAAATGGATCTGGGGGTGGGTACAAACACAAGGACTTATTAAAAAGCCATGTTTAGAAGCAACTAAAACATTTTGGGGGGTTTGGGGGGTGATCTTGCTGCCTTAGTCTCTCCAGTACTGGGATTATAGGTGTGAGCCACCATGCCTGGCCCAGAGCACTTAAATCTATAGTGATTATTCTACAACTAAGGTGATTGGCCCTGTCTAAAACCCAATGCCAGTAGAAAAGTCAAAGATCTATGGGTAAAATAAAGTACCTCTGGGATAAGGTACACTAGGCATACCTGAGGTCAAGGATGTCATACTGAAAACAGGGAGCTCAGGGAGGGACTAAATATAACAAATACAGAGCTTCCTCTAGTTTTGTCCTAGTTGGGGCTAGAAAACCAGCAATTTGGCCTTTATCTTGTATTGTAGGCAGGAGATCAATAGAGTCTTCTCTGGAGAATGTGAAGTCTAAGAAATGAAACTGACACATCAGATTCCCCAAAGAAACATCTGGCCAGTTTGTGTCTAACTATATGCCAAAGTGCCAAACTGTTTTTCAAAATAGCTGTTGCCATTTTTCATTTCCACTAGCAATTAACATTTCCACTAGTAATTAGCTGCTCCACAGCCTAGCCAATACATGGACTGGCAATCTTTTAAATTTTATCCACTCTTTGGGTAAAATGTCAGACAGTATCACTGTGATTTGCATTTCCCTAAAGAGTAATTAAGCATCTTTGCATGTGAGTATCTGCCACCTCTAGAACTTTGTGCAGTGTCTGAACATATTCTTTTGGTCACAAAAATAAAACCAAAGTGCCACTCTTAGGACTCCATGAACACATTTTGTATTTCTATTATCCCATTTGTGATGTGCATTTTCATTTTCCTAACATTAAGCTCAATATATCTTTTTTTAAAGTAAATTAACACCTATTTTTTTATTTTCCATAATTTTATTGAGAGACAAATAGCAATGAGACAGTTTCATATTAAATTGGTAGGACAGTTTCAATAACACACTGCATACTGTCTTCCTAGAGGTTATTTGCTGTACAAGATGCAGACATGATATCCTATTTACAAACACCATTAGAACAAATAAATCCCTCTATTCATGAAGAGATTTTACTTTTTTTTTTTTCTTAGCATTTTGAATACACAGATACAAAATGGACATTCATCTGTATGCCCTTTTTTGTTTAGTTCCGTCACTTGAATATTATAGGTGTGTTAACTCAGCAAAATATTCTAAGAGTCCAGTAGTCCATAACAGTATTGCGTCTTCCGCTTCACTGGCAGTGCCAGATATTGTTGACCTGAGTCCCCCACAGCTCCACATAACACCATGGCTTTACTTCTTATACTTCGTTTTCATACTTTTCTGCTGGATGGTTAAGACCAAGGTAAAGCAGGACCTATGCAACAAGAGTTGTAGCTTTTGGGTCTGATAAGGTCAGTGAAATCCCCTCAGGATTTATCCTGAGACCCTGTACCTCAGATTGTAGAT